ATCCTAGAAGGTCCAAATAAATCTAAATGTAATAATTCTAGGAGTTTTGAAGTGGAAATCACATTTTTTTGATTTAAATGATGATTTAACTTGTTTACCTTTTTGGCATGCATCACACAATCTATCTTTTTCAAATTTCAATTTAGGCAATCCAATAACTAAGTCTTTTGATATCAATTTATTCAAATGATGCATGTTTATATGAGCCGCTCTTTTATGCCATAACCAAGGATTCTCTTCCTTAGCAACTAAACATGTTATACTAGACTCATATAAACAATCCAAATCAATCAAATATATGTTGTTATGCCTAATGCCTTTTAATTCTACTATTTCGGAATCTACTAAATGTATGGTGCAAAATTTGCTTTCAAAAGTTACCTTGAATCCTTTGTCACACAATTGGCTTATGCTAAGAAGGTTATGTTTTAATCCATCAACAAGAAGCACATCCTTAATCTTCAATGTATTTGCACCACCTATATTTCCAATTCCGAGAATCTTCCCTTTGTTGTTATCCCCATAAGTCACATATCCTTGTTCTTTGGCTTTGAAACTTACAAATTTCGTTTTATTCCCAGTCATATGTTTTGAGCATCCACTATCAAGATACCACATAGACTTCTTTGATTTGGAAGTTTCTTACAAAACAAGAACATAGTAAACTTAGGTCCCCACAACTTTTGGGTCCTTGAGGTTAGAGACATAATAATCTATTTAAAATACTGCAAAACAATCTATTCTTTGGGTGTTTTAAGAAGTTCAAGCAAAACTGTTTTTATAGACTATTTTCAAAGCTACTTGGTTTAATTAATCTGTTAAAAGATTCTTTTAATCTGTTAAAGTGCAGTTTTAATCTGTTAAAACGTCTTTTAATCGATTAAAACGCAGTGTAGAAAAAGTTTTTAAGTTGTTTTAATCGATTGAAACGAGTTTTTAATCGATTAAAAGAGTTCTGATCGGTCATAATAAAAATCTGATCGGTCATCCTGACTCAACCGGTCATAATAAAAATCTGATCGGTCATCCTGACTCAACCGGTCATAATAAAAATCTGATCAGTCGTCCTGACCCTTTAAGTGATTTTAATCGATTGAAACGTGTTTTTAATCGATTGAAAAATTCTGACCAGCTCATAATTAAAATCTGATCGATCACATTTGCTTCTAATCGGTCATAATTTGATTTTGATCGATCATCCTGACCCTTTAAGTAATTTTAATCGATTGAAACGTGTTTTTAATCGATTTAAACGCTTCTGACCGCTCATAATAACAATCTGATCGGTCAAAATGAGTTCTAAATGGTTTTAATCGATTAAAAACCAGTTGTATCGATTAAAATGCTTGTAAAAACACTTCTTTGACCACTCTAAGTGATTTTATTTGGTTCTTTCAAAATTGCATCGAGTTAAAAACATGTTTTAAGAAAGCTTTTGTAAAAATACTTTATTTTGAGTCGTTTAAAACAATTTTAGAGGCTTCTCGCAAAAATCTTTAAGTGAAGAACCTTCATGCAATAGAAAAGATAAAATGTTTTTACCTAATCATTCTGTTTAAAACATACTAAATGATCCATTTTCTTTGAATAAATAAAAGAGACAAACAATTCATTTATCTATAGGAACCCAAATATATTTTCCTTTAGGAACACCAAAATGTTTGATTTTACATCTATTTGAAGTATGACCTTGTTTCATACAATAGAAACATGCTTTAGATGTAACATTTGAAAATGATGCATTTCTAACTATTGAAGTTTTGGTTCCTTTTTCAACCCATACTCTTCTATTTTTACTTTTAGGCTTTTTCAAAGGAACATGACAATTTTCTTTAATTTGAACACTATCCTTATTCTTATAATTATCACTTAATTCCTTTTTAGCTTTATCAAGCAAATGTCTAAGTAAATCAATATCATGTTCATACTCTTTACATGATGCACATGCTATAGTCTTATCATCATTCTCATCTATACATACAATTGTCGTTTCTAAGGTTTCCTTTTCCTCTAAACATGAAATTTTCGTTTTTAAGGACTCCTTTTCTTCTAAACATGTGATTTTCATTTTTAAGGACTCTACCTCCATTTTGGAACTATTTAAACTCTTTTTCACAGCTTTGTATTTATTGTTCAAGTCCTTAAAAGCACTAAACAATTCATTATATGCATTTTGCAGTTCATCATGATCATTTTCATCATCACTTGAAGATGAGTCGGAATCACTAACCTCAAAGTCGGAAGAAATGATGTCATTTGCCAACAAGCAAATGTTAGCTTCTATTTCTGAGTCGCTTGATTCCGAAATTGAGTCACTATCATCTGTTCCTTCATAAGTTACTCTTAGTTTTGCCCACATCTCTTGAGCACTCTTACAAGTGGATATTCTCGTAAAACTCATCAAGGGTTAAAGCAGATGAAATTATATTTCTAGCCCTAACATCATATTGAGCTTTCCTATTTTCTTCATCCGACCATCTAGAAAATTGTTTTGGTACTTCTACTCCATTTTCAAAAACTTTAGGAATAAAAGGACCGTTTAAAATTGCGTCCCAAACGCCTCTATCAACAGACTCTAAAAATATTTGCATACGTACTTTCCAAAAAGGATAATTTTGACCCGCAAAAAGTGGGGGTCTGTTGATAGACGTACCTTCGGCAAAAGTTTGATTTTGTCCGGCCATTTTTGAAAATATTTGAATGACTATCAAAGCAAGCTCTGATACCACTTGTTAGAATCGCACAGCGGAATGTTCGCGTGGTCGGACAAAAACCAAGAGGGGGGGTGAATTGGTTTCTTAATAAAAATTAGGTTTTCAAAATTTTCCCCAAATTTTACCGATTAAAAACTGCGTAAATGTAAATAGAGAAGAGTAGAGAAGATTACACAATAGGTTTATACTGGTTCGGATCAAAAGACCCTACGTCCAGTTGCTAATCACTCAAAAGAGGATTAACGCTGTCACTAAGAACAAAGTTGTTACAACACAAATTATAATGAAAAAGATAAAGTTAAAGATAAAACCTCTCTTGAAATCCACAAGAGATGATAAACAGCTTTCCCTGGAGACGGCACAGCACACAATCCACTAAGAACTCCACTTAGTGATTCTTATCGCTTCTAGCCTCACACCAAGTTTCCAAAAGCCCCGAAGAACAGCTTTCCCCGGAGACGGCACAGCACTCAATCCACTAAGAACTCCACTTAGTGATTCTTATCGCTTCTAGCCTCACACCGAGTTTCCAAAAGCCCCCTTTCCTTGCAACAAACAGTTCTCTGGCACTCACAGCACTTAACTTTTGTATGGAAAGAGTTGTTCTTTAGTTGTTCATGTTTTTAGAAATCATCAATCTTCAATCTTCAATACTCTAAGTCTTTAAGCTCTTGGATCATCATCAAAATCAACATTCTTCATGATCATTATTTGCAACATCAAGTCCTTGAATGTTCAACAAGGTGTTTTCATCCTTTAATTTGTTCGGAGGAGGTGTTTATCCTTAGTAGGATTCTAAGTAGGTATTCATCCTTAGTAGGATTCAAGGAGGTGTTTTCATCCTTTAATTTGTTCAGAGGAGGTGTTCATCCTTAGTAGGATTCTAAGGAGGTGTTTTCATCCCTTTGATTTGTTTGGGGAGGTGTTCATCCGTAGTGGGATTCTAAGGAGGTGTTTTCATCCCTTTGATGTGTTCAGGGAGGTGTTCATCCCTAGTGTGATTCTAGGGAGGTGTTCATCCTTTGTGTGTTGGTTACAAAGGAGGTGTTTTTCATCCTTTGATTTGTTCAGAGGAGATGTTCATACCTAGTGGGATTTTAGAGTGGTATTCATCCTTAGTGAGTTTCTAAGGATGTGATTATCTTTCTAATTAGTTTACTCATTACTGGTTCCTCTGCTGAGTTGATTGTAATAATTTGTAAATTGAATTTTAAAGATAGTGAATTGGACCACTCTTGTGTTAGAGGTGACTGGGAACTGGATGTAGGATTGACTATACCCGAACCAGTATAAATTACTGTGTGTTCTTCTCTTCCCTATATCTTCACTTTTATTTTTCCTTATACCTTTCTGATTATATTACTTCTGCTTTTTTTATTTGAATCTGATAATTAAAATTGAATTAACAAATTATTAGATATCTAAAATAAATTTTTAATTTGACATTTATTTAAATTTATGCATTTACTTACTTCTCTAGATGTCATTTGTTTAACAGTGAGTGAGTGTATCAGAACAAGATATAATTTTATTATTGTATCGGTGTTCAATAATTGTGATATTACAAAGTTGCAAATAACACTGTCTTTGGGGTTGTTTAAAAAACTGAGAATGAAATAAGAAAAACGACTTTAATCATAATATATTATCCTTGTAATTTTTTTACACTAATTAGAAGCCATTAAGAATTACTGTAGATAAAACTTTTGAATTAATTATAACAAAAACCGTCAATCCTATTTTACATAATAATTCATAAACAGATGAACGTGCAGAAAATATCTTCACTTGGAGCATATATGTATTTACAAAGTGAAAAAGAAACTTTGTTTTATAAACAAAATTTTCCAACGCTACTTTTACGAAGAAAACAGTTCACCAAACTAGTAAACAATGACTTCCTTGTATTATTGCTTTGTCACCTTGCTCTTTTGTAAAACTGACCAGCAATAATGTATTATGAAAATCATTCCTACCAACAGCTTTTGATAAAAATATATACCTTAATTTTTTTTGGAACTATAGTTGAGACATTAAAAACATAAGATGCACGCGGTACTTGGAAATTAATACAATAATCAAAATAACAACTCAGCAGCAGATTATGTCAAATTTCAAAAGCACTTTTTCTCTGTATATATGTCTGTCTAAGGCAATGGTGCCAGCATCCAAACACAACCTATTCTTTTATTCATAAATCTATCTGAGTTCCTTTTTGTTCAGCTGTAGCTTCTTGTGTTTGTTGAGACCCTGCTGCTGCTAAGGTTTTGCCTTAGCAAAGTGAGAATGGGGATGAAAGCAGTTTTTGTTTGGTTCATATGGTTGGGGTTGGTAGAGTTTGCTGTAGGAGGAAGGGTGAGGCACTACAAGTTTGATGTGGAGTACATGATCAAAACGCCAGATTGCTTGGAACACGTTGTGATGGGAATCAACGGCCAGTTTCCAGGACCAACTATTAGGGCTGAAGTTGGTGACACTCTTGATATTGCTCTCACCAACAAACTTTTCACTGAGGGAACTGTCATTCACTGGCATGGAATCAGACAGGTTCTTTTAATTTTACTAGTCTTTTTTATGTAATTTTTATGTGTAATAATGTGAAGAAATGTCAAATAAGAGGGTTTATGTGGTTTTACTATGCCAAGTGCTGACCAAAAATGGCTTATTGTTGATTTTGTTTTGTTGGCTTGGTTATGCAGGCTGGAACTCCTTGGGCAGATGGAACTGCTGCCATCTCACAGTGTGCTATAAACCCAGGAGAAACTTTTCATTACAGGTTTACAGTGGACAGGGTAATTACATTTCTGCCCTTTTTCTTTTTATTTTCAATCTTCGACAGACACAATTAGGCTTCAAATCATATATGTTGAGTTAGCCAACTCTTTTTATTTTCACTTCAAAATTTTCTAAGAGTAAATCTGTGTTCTTAACTAAAGCCTCAAGTTTCAATTTTGCAAATTAAAAAAAATGTACTTGCATTTAAAGTACTCAATTAAGTTGTTTGGTGAAGATTAATTTTAAAAACAAATGTAAGGAAAATTCTATCATCGTTTATCTAATTATTCACATATCATTTATATATCTCTCGGTTACTTTTCTTAATATCGATTGTTTTTGGTTGAATTCTACAAAAATAATATTGAATTTTAAGTAATGATATGTATAAAAAAATATAAAATAAAAATAATTTTAACTTGTGTGGGAATAGAGATCCTGTTTTCCTTTTTACTTACCAAGGCATATTTGTCATTTCTATTTTCAGTTATATGGAAAAATATATGTTGATTGTTGCCCTCCATGTCCCATCTTTTTATATTTGAGTCCAGAAGAAGTACAGTTAGGTTCAAAGAAATGAAAGTAAGAAGAGAGAAAATGTTTTCAAAGTTAATTTGAGCAGAAATAATAGAAACTTTTTTAAAAATTGTCTTTTTTTTTTAAATGTTTTTCAAAGTAATTAAAAATATGCATCTATTTTAATAATATATTATTAAGAATAATATACGTCTCTTTGTAATGACGTATTGGTGGGTGTTAATTATATGGTGCAGCCTGGAACATATTTCTACCATGGACACTATGGTATGCAAAGATCAGCAGGGTTGTATGGTTCATTGATAGTAGATTTGCCAAAGGGACAAAACGAACCGTTTCATTATGATGGTGAGTTCAACCTTCTTCTAAGTGATTTGTGGCACACCAGCTCTCATGAACAAGAAGTTGGTCTCTCTTCCATACCATTCAAATGGATTGGTGAACCTCAGGTAAAATTAACCTAATTAATGACACTTTTTTTTTTTTTTCAAATCTTATATGAGTTTAATGTTAGTCAATTTTATTGCTGTCCAATTTTGAAACAATTGTTGTAAAACAAAACCTTATCTCATCATGGTAATTATATGATTGAATAATAATATAAAACCATTTTTCATCTGATATGTAGTTACGACTAATCAATAAAAAAAAATGTAATGATCATATATACACTAATCATATAAAACAATTTTATACTATAATAATTTATCTAAAATCATCGTTGATATGATGTTTATTAGAGAAATGATGGTTTGACAATCATTATCTTTAAAAGAAATTTTAAAAATTACTCTGCATAATTTGTTTGTGATTGGACCAAAATGGTGTATAAAATGTATTTTCTCAAAAAAGCCTAGCTATTAATATATACATAAATTTTGTTTTTTGAATAATATATTACCCGCACATAATGTGTTTTGACATGTAGTCATTACTTAACGTATTTTAGCTTATTCAATACGGACTTTGAAATTTTGACAAATTCAAACTAAATTTTCTTTTCTTTTTACTGACATGACTTTTTTTCTTTTTCATTTTGTCACCTTAATCATTTGAAGCTTATGTACAAGTATTTTATACTTTTCCTTCAATGAATAGACATTGGAGATCTCAAGGTTTATATGTAACCTGTGGTAACCAATTAGAAAAATTCATGTTAGCATTTTAAGTACCTCCCACATGTGACATAGAAATGAAAATAGTATATTGTGATATAAAAGTACAAATTCCAGATAGATATCATATCAAATTCCGTAAAGTAATCTAGAAAAACTTGCACATGTGACCCATCTCAGCAAAGTGGTGTTGGATTTTTATATTTCGGCATCATTGAAATCTTCATTCTCATACTTTTTTTTTTCCTTTTCTTTTATCCTTTCTCTAATATATTTTCAAGACGGTCAACTTTTTTATTCAACCCTTCCTATGTGATTAAAGTGAAACAATGAACACAAAGAGACAGTTTTTGAAAATTCAAAATAAGTTTACATTAAGAATTTGAATAATTATTATTGTATTCTCTTCAATATAGTAATAAGAGCATCAATACAATTAAGTTAAAAAAAAAGAAAAAAAAAAATATATATATATATATATATATATATATATATATATATATATATATATATATATATATATATATATATATATATAATTCTAAGCAATAGAAAGCTCATTAACATATCATAACACAAAATAGGAATAAATAAACTTAAATTGATTTTACACTTTTAACATTTTTAATTGAATTTTACTAAACCAGTTAGAAGAAAGGTGTATACATGTCTTTTTTGGAAATTATCAAGATGAGTTTTAGTATAATAAATCTGTAAAAGTCCAAATAAAAAGGTTTGGAAACTCACTTTAGTTTAAGAAACCACTTACAAATCACTTCAAAACATTATTTGATCTTTGATATATTACCTCATTCTCACAAATTTTCCGAATCGTAATCCACTCAAACTCTCACTATAAGTAGAAAAATGCATTATCTATTTGGAGAATATTTCTACTTACAGCATCTTATTTGTAAAAATAGATGTTTATCCAAAATTTATTTTTATGCATAATTTACCACTTATGTAATTAATATATTTCATAGCTTCATGATATATATGTATATATATATATATATATATATATATATATATATATATATATATAAGATAATATAATATAATATTTAATATTGCATTCAATTGTTTTTATTCATTTTCGAAGTATAATATGAAGTAAACAAGCTGACTCGCTTTAACTGTAAAAAGAAGGCTATTGAGATTTTCCTTATAATTAATTGTATTCTGAGTGAACAGAAAGTACTTATTATTTTTTATATTTGTTCTATAAATTAGAATGTTATGTTGTAGTTATTTTATTTTCAAACTAGTATTTGAATAACATATAAAGTTTATTTATGCTGTTTCTTAATGTGTTAAACTTTTAAATCACCTCATAAGAATGATCATTATGTTTATCTTTGAAAAATCCGAAGGGAATATATAAATAGAGAGAGAAAGGCAAAGAGACATTGAGAAACGAAAAGAAAGATACAGATCGAACTTGTTTTCCTTAATTGTCGGGTTGCTTTCAGAAGGTTACTTTTTATCCTTTTTCTTACTCTCTATCAAATTTTCACTTTGTAGACTCTGCTGATCAATGGAAGGGGACAATTTAATTGTTCTCTTGCAGCTAAATTCATCAACACCACTCTACCCCAGTGCCAATTTAAAGGTGGTGAAGAATGTGCCCCTCAAATTCTTCATGTGGAGCCAAACAAGACCTACAGAATTAGGATTGCCAGCACCACTGCCTTAGCTTCACTCAACTTAGCTATTTCTGTAAGTCCCATTTCACCCTATACCTTTCTTTATTCACAAGAATTTGAATTTGAGTAATAAGATGATTACAACAAACTACACACTAATGAGTTATACTTCTTAATCCTATATAGATGTATGAACAGATTTTTTAAACAATTTTTTTAAAATAAAAGGAAAACAAAAAGTGAAGTGAATTTTGTAAAAGTTCTTTCATCTAATTTTTTATACTTTAACTTATACCAAAGTTAACTTTTGCAGAAGCTCATTAATTTTCTTTTTCTTGTTTTTTTAATTTGTCTAACTAGGTCCCCAATAACATGTTGCATTTCATTAATTAATTTAATCTCTTTCCTCTCTACTTTTTATCATTTTGTTGGATCCCAAATATTGTGTCCTTTAATAATGCCTTTGTAAAAGTGGCATCATTCACGAAGGTGCACTTAGTGGCAATTAGCTGTGATGTGGTTAGTCTAAGATTTTTTTTTCTTTTTTTTAAGTGGTATAAGATATTTTATTTCTCACACATTCCACTTTTTTTTTTTTTAAAAAGAAACGAATAGAGAAACCCACGATAATTCATAATCTATTATAAGTCTTTGTAGGTGTTAAGGTAGTAAAGACTTGACTAATGGGTCAATAAAGTTGAAAAAACGATGTAAAAGACATGGTAAAGAAAGAATTTTCTATGATCCATCGTTTATAAATATATATATATATATATATATATATATATATATATATATATATATATATATATATATATATATATATATATATATGGAAGAAAGTGTCAACTAGATAGTTGTATGTAAGACCAGCAATTGAGAATAAAATGATTATAAATTTAATAAGCACTACTTATTTTATTTATTTTAAAAAAATAAATTAGAACAATTTTTAAAATGGATTGAATTATATACACTCAAATATATAAAGTGGTATTATTAAAAAAAATATTTTACCTTAATTAGTTTTTTTATATAATATTGTGAAAGTAATGACAAGAAAAAAGAAAAAGAAAAAACACCATACAAAGGGGAGTGCGAGTGGTATTCAAATCTTTGGCGGATTGGGACCAGTGGTACTAATATATATATATATATATATATATATATATATATATATATATATATATATATTAATCATTTTTAATAATAAAATAATAAATATAATTATTTTTTTAAAATTTTTAATTTATAATATATATATATATATATATATATATATATTTTTTAATATAATTTCTTTTTAGTTTTTATATTTTTTTCTCTTATTTTGTTATTTTTGTTATTTTTCTATCAAATATTTATTTTATTTTTTATATTTTTATTTTTCTATTTATCATCCATTCACTTCTATATTTTTATCCTTCATGATTTCATTTCATATTTTTTTGTTAAGTTTCATCAATATAACATAAACATTATAATTATTTTATTAATTTTTTGTTCTCTTCACATTAAAAAGATAATAAATTAAAAAAATATATCAAAATAATTTTATTTTTAAAGAATAAATAAATTATTTGTTTATTATTATTAATTATTTATTTTAATATTTTATAATATTTTATTTGAATATTAAAATGTGAAAAAAATTTAAATTAAATTTTAAAGATGTTTAAAAATAATTATAAACTTATTTTTCAAAAAAAAATCAAAAATAAACTTTAATTTTTAAAATTTAAATTTAGTTAAGTATATTAAGTATTATATATATATATATATATATATATATATATTATAATTAATATTTAGATTTGATACTCTTATTTTAAATTTTTTATTTCGCCTGGTGGTGTAACAAAATAGAGGCAATTATTTCTTCTTGAACTGTGTATGGAAATTAGGATTATAATGTAACTGAGTGGGACTCACGGAGTTGTCATACACTGAAACATTCTGAAAATATAGAACTGTGTTTAAAATATATATTAAAAATAAAATAGGAAAAGAAAAGGCAAACTTATACGGGTTTGGTTTGGTAGGGCCTGACACTCCATGAAAATTATGGCCACTGATTTTGGGACAACGCACTCGATAATATTATCATGGCATGAGGGTAACTTAGGCGACACAATCGAGTATTGATTTTAAATTTACTTTTGCGGTGTTCAAACAGATAAATAAAAGAAATGGAAAAATATTGATGTAAAAGTAGAAACCATCTTCGTTAATCATTCTGAGATAAATAATATATTATTAATAAATAATAAATAAATATATAAGATATAAAACAAATAATATATTATTAATAAAAATAATTAAATATAAAAAATATGAAAGATTAAAATTATAAAATTAGTTAGAGAGTCAAAATTAAGTAAATATAAATTAAAAAAAAAATTCGGATCGTATTTCTTTCGTTTAAAAGTGTTAAAAGATATTCCTTATTTTTTTTTCAGATGAAAACAAAGATCAGAAAAACAAGTGAATGTAATACATGATAGATATTGTAAATGATGTGATATAATACAATACAAATGAAGGCGAGAATGAAAAAAAAAAAAACTGCATGCATGTTTATAAGAGTTCTAACTAGATGTGATGAAAATAAAATATATAAATAAAAATTTAAATGCATTTTTAATGACAGCAAAAGGTGAGGTTTGATTTTTGTTTTGGTAACAAAAAATTCTTAAGTTTTTATCCTTTTAATAAAATTAATTTTATATTTTTTTAATCTCCAATAATATATATTACTGATTAAATAATTATTCTAAGTGATATACACTATTGGGTGTCACTTAAAAATAATCTTAAAATATATAAAGTAAATATTATTGATTTATCTTAAAATGAATTTATATTAGAAGAACTAAAAATGGCGATTTGAAATTTTGGAGAGATTTAAAAAAATTAAAAGTTACATTTAAAAGCTAAAAATAGTGATTTTAATAAAAAAAATTATAGAAACCAAAGTCAGAAACTCATTTATATTTTAAGAAGTAACAAATAGCCAAACAAATATGAAAGAAAAACAAATCTTTTATATATATATATATATATATATATATATATATATATATATATATATATATATATATATATATATATATATATTATTAAATTTAGTATAAAAAACAGGAGATTCCAATGCATGGTAAGATAAGTTGCAGCATAAAGCTCTTGAATTATTGTACATAATTAACATGACGCTGGTAAAGTTCTTATGCTGTTACTGACTTACAATTCACTAGTACAGTAAATCACTTTTAACATCGGTCTTTCCACATCGGTTCTTTAAGAACCGATGTAGAAGTAGATTCAAGACTTTCTACATCGGTTCCCGGATGAGCCGATGTAGAAAACACTTTCTACATCGGTTCCCGGATGAGCCGATGTAGAAAATACTTTCTACATCGGTTCTCGGATGAGCCGATGTAGAAAGTCATTTTATAAAATTAAGAGAAGCTGTCACTTAGCAAGATTCGAACCCAGTACCTTAGAGTCGAAGGCTGATACTCCAACCACTAAGCTACTAGGATTTTCGATAAATGTATATCCATGTAAATATATAAATATAAAATATATAAATACAAATACAAATATATTTATATATTTATATGTTGGATGTGAGAGCGCGCTCGAGAGTGAAAGTGTGTGTCAAGTGGGTTTTCAAAATTTGATGTCAAATTTGTGAGCGAGTCTCTTTATATGAATTTGTAATTTAATGATAGAATATAATCTTTATAATTTATTTATAATAATATAGCATATAATCTTTATACACTACTAGAAAAATGGTTAATAGTGACCGAAATTAGTGATCGAAAAATTCGAGTTTAATATATTTATAAAAAAATTAAAATTATTTTAATTACTTGAATTGATATTTTAAATTTATATTAATATTTTGGATAATTTAATAGTTAGATATATATTTTAAGTTTATATTAGTTATTTTTATATAAATTGTAAAGATTAAGTAAATTTATTTTAAAATTTAATTAAACATAATAATATAATATACTATTAACCATATTATTAGTTAGAAATTAATTTTAAGTTTTATCATATTTATTTGAAAAATATTTTTTAAAAATTTAAAATAATTAATTAAAATAAAGAAATTTAATTTAATAAATGTGTTAATATTATTAGTTATTAGAAAATTAAATTTATAATAATAATAATTATATAAAATTATAGAATTAATAAATGTTTCGCTTGAGCGAAAATCCCCTCGCTCGAGCGAAACGCCCCATGCACAAAATATGATCGGTCATAATTGCATTCGATCGATCATAATTGAACGATATCATAGCGGTTCCAGGTTAACCGCTATCTAAGTGAGTTTTTAAAAGCGGTTCTGTGTAACCGCTATCTAAAATGTCTTTCGCTTGAGCGACAGTCTTATCGCTCGAGCGAAACGCCCCTGCACAAAATTGGCATTCTCGGGTTGTGTTTCGCTTGAGCGACAATCGTCTCGCTCGAGCGAAACGCCCTGCACAAAATTATGATCGGTCATAATTGCATTTTGATCGATCATAATTGAACGATATCATAGCGGTTCTAGGTTAGCCGCTATCTAAGTGAGCTTTTAAAAGCGGTTCTGTGTAACCGCTATCTAAAATGTCTTTCGCTTGAGCGACAGTCTTCTCGCTCGAGCGAAACGCCCCTGCACAAAATTGGCATTCTCGGGTTGTGTTTCGCTTAAGCGACAATCCTATCGCTCGAGCGAAACGCCCCTGCACATATAAAAATATAAATATATAAATATATTAATATATAAATATATCAATATATAAATATATATAAATATATATATATATATATATATACAAATATATCAATATATCAATATTATCCCCTCATATATTAATATATCAATATTATCCCTTCATATATCGGTCATCTGAATCGGTCACTAATATCGGTGACCAAGGAAATAGTGATCGATTCCAGTTGGTCATTGATTCGGTCAATGAATCGGTCAGCTGATTCGGTCACTAATTCGGTCAATGAATCGGTCACTTGAATCGGTCACTAAAATATATTTTAATTCCTCACATCCAACATATAAAATATATAAATATATTTGTATTTGTATTTATATATTTTATATTTATATATTTTATATTTATATATTTACATGGATATACATTTTTATTTGTATATAAATATAATTTATGTATAAGTTATTATCGAGAAAATCCTAATAGCTTAGTGGTTGGAGTATCGGCCTCAGACTCTAAGGTCTTGGGTTCGAATCTTGCCAGTGACAATTCTCTTAATCGATAATAAATCAAATTTCTAAAAAATATAAATAATATAATAAATAATAAAAATATAATATAAAAGGGAGAGGAGACCTCTAGATCAATAGATAGGGTAATTGGAGAGGGGTTATGAATAAATAAAATAAATAAAATAAATAAAATATATAAAAATATTAGACTTTCTACATCGGTTCCTTAGGAACCGATGTAGAAAGTGGAAAGTCACACTTTCTACATCGGTTCCTTAGGAACCGATGTAGAAAGTGTGACTTTCTACATCAGTTGTATCTACATCGGTTCTAGAACCGATGTTAAAAGTCCATGAGAGCCGATGTTAAAAGCCTGTTTTGTACTAGTGAATTGGCTGATTCTTAAATCAAATCTGTTACTTGGATTATAAATTTAGGATACGTTTAGATAACTTTCTTCATCAACACTTTTAAAAATGAAAAAAATATTTATTTATAAATTAAAATTAAATTTTATCCAAATTAAAAAAGTTGTATAAGTTTCTAAATATTAATTTATACAGATTAGTTTAAACAGGAGAATAAACTTGTATCACTTTTTATTCTTTCTTAAAAATTGTTATGAAAAAGTTTGTTAAAACAAAACTTATTTAAAATAAAATAATATTGGAAAATGAGTAGTGGGTGAAACAATTTCACTTCATTATTCAACTAATGTCATCATCACAAGTGACACCACTATAGATTTCATGCATCTAACACCATCATGACTTTTCTATGTGATGCAGAATCACAAACTTGTTATAGTGGAAGCTGATGGAAACTACGTTACACCATTTGCGGTTGATGATATGGATATTTACTCTGGAGAGTCCTACTCAGTTCTCCTTCGCACAGATCAAGATCCAAAGAAAAACTATTGGCTTTCAATTGGGGTTAGGGGAAGAAATCCTAACACCACACAAGGCCTAACCATTCTGAACTACAAGACAATCTCTGCCTCAGTTTTTCCAACTTCTCCACCACCTACCACACCCCTTTGGAATGATTTTGAACGCAGCAAAGCATTCACCAAGAAAATCATTGCCAAGATGGGAACCCCACAACCTCCAAAACGTTCTGATCGTACAATTTTCCTCCTCAACACCCAAAATCGCGTTGACGGGTTCACCAAATGGTCCATTAACAATGTGTCCCTAACATTGCCACCAACCCCTTACTTGGGGGCCATCAAGTTCAAACTAAACGATGCTTTTGATCAAACACCTCCACCTGTGACCTACCCTCAAGACTATGACATTTTCAACCCTCCTGTGAATCCTAATTCAACCATTGGCAATGGGGTGTACAAGTTCAACCTTAACGAGGTTGTTGATGTGATATTGCAAAATGCAAACCAATTGAGTGGGAATGGTAGTGAGATTCACCCTTGGCACTTGCATGGGCATGACTTTTGGGTATTGGGGTATGGAGAAGGCAAATTCAAACAAGGTGATGAGAAGAAATTCAACTTGACACATGCACCATTGAGGAACACTGCCGTCATTTTTCCATATGGTTGGACTGCTCTGAGGTTTAAGGCAGATAACCCAGGTGTTTGGGCCTTCCATTGTCACATCGAACCACATTTGCACATGGGAATGGGTGTGATTTTTGCTGAGGGTGTTCACAAAGTTGGAAAAATCCCCAAAGAAGCAATAAAGTGTGGACTTACTGCGTAGAAGCTAGCGGAAAGTGGACCCAACTGAAACTAGTCAGCGAGTCACACTACTTGTGCTTAAAGCCATATCAAATATATTTATATGATTTAGAGAAATTTATAATTCTAATAATTATCTTAATATTTTGTTATTAATATTCCTTATTTTATGTTATTATTTTGTCCTTGTAATGTGTAATAAGGTGAGGCTATTATGATAAATTTCTTCTTTATATTTATTTATTGTCGACTTTATTATATGATTACAATTATACTATAATGTGTGTATATAAATATAATTTGTAATATGAATAATTAAGTCATTTTCTGTACATTTCTCTCTCTTGGTATCATGTCTGCAGGAGCCAATACAACTAAGAAAAATGACCTACCTTCCATTGATTAGAGGTTGCAAGCTTGATAGATACATACTAGGAACAAAAGAATGTCCAAAACAGTGTCACCACAAGTGACAAAACTAAAAAAGACAATCCTGACTATGAAGAGTAGATTGCACACGACCAAACTCTCCTAGGATATAGCTAAGAAATTCAATGGTCATTGATATTCCAATATAGTTGTTGCATTGTGAAACCTATAAGGAACTTTGGGATCAAGCCTAAAACCTAGCGGTGCACACAAAAAATCAAGGACAATCTACCTTAAGTCCGAATTTTACAACACTTGCAAAGGAGAAATGAAGATAGATCAATATCATCTCAAAATGAAGAACCTTGCTAACAAATTAAAGCTGGCAAGATCACCGATCTCCAACTCAGAATTGATGATTCAAACACTGAATGACCTATATGTTGATTACAATCCTGTGGTGGTCAAATTATCTAATCAAGTCAATCTTAGTTGGGTTAATCTACATGCCCAACTATTGGCATTTGAAAAAGCAGAATAGAACAACTGAACAACTTCAGTAATCTTTCAATAAATGCTTAAGCAAACCTTACAAAAAAAGCTAATTTCAAAGACAACAAACTAGGGACACAAGACAACTGGAGGGGCTCTAACTTCAGAGGAAGTAGAGAAAGTAGAGGAAGATCTAAACCAATATGTCAGGTATATAACAAGATTGGTCACACTGCAGTGAATTGTTTTTATTGCTATGATAAGTCATATACAGACTCAAACACTACTAGAAAAATGGTAAATAGTAACTAAAAAATTTATTCACTAATAATAACTGAATCAGTAATTTTTTTTTATATTTAGTGACTGATTCAGTGACCTGAAAGTGATGAAGATCTTATTGAATCATTTGGTAAATCAAAGATCTTGTGGATTTGATGAAGTCAAAGGCTTCTTGTGTTAAAGGGTAGAGTGATTAGTGAGTCTGCATCTATACATAGGTATAATCATTCATTTCTCTATGCTGCATGAGGTTTCATCATTTGAAAGAGTTTGAAAATGCCTCTAAAAATGTTTTAGTTGATATTATATGAGCTTTATCAATTAAAATGTTCTTAAAACTTACATGACAGATTTTTAACTAATAGGTTTTTGAAATAATCGATTAAAACCATTTAAAACATTCACTTGAACTATTTTAATCGATACACATTCGAAATAATCGATTAATTTCATTAAAGGAGTATTTGGAAACCTTCTGCCACTATGTTTAACTGATATAAATCCGAAATAATCGATTAAAATCACTTAAGATGTTTTGAAAAGTGTTTTGGCAGTGTTTTAATCGATGTAACATTGAAATAATCGATTAAAACCACTTAAAGTGTTTTCTAATCGATGTAATATAAAAAATGATCGATCAGAATACGTTTTAATCGATGTAATCTAAAAAATGATCGATCAGAATAGCTTGAGATGTTCTGTCAGAACTTTAATCGATGTAAAATCGAATTAATCGATTAAAACAACTTAAGGAGCTTTTTTCTAACTGTTTTAATCGATTAAAACATGTTATTATCAGTTAAAATCACTTAGAAAGTTTTGTGAAAGGTTTTGGCAGAATATTAATCGATTAATTTGTGAATTAATCGATTAAAACAACTTAAGAGACTTTTTGTTAAAAGTTTTAATCGATTGAAACAGTGGTCGCATCAGTTAAAATAAATCTGGAAAATAATCAATAATATTTTAACAGATTAAAAGAAGTTTTAATCGATTAATCAAAGACTTTTAACAGATTAAAAGAACGATTTAACAGATTAATTAAACCAGAAGTTGAAAAACTTTTCTATATAAACAGATTTGATTCAATGTTTTAAAATATACTTTTGAGTAATCAATCAAGCAATTATAGGAGCTACTTTCAAGAAAGAATCATGCAGGTTTTATGAAGTTTTTCAAAGTTCTTTCTTGAGGTATTTTTTGCATTCTTTTGGTGAAGAAACTCATTCTATAGGAGCTGCATAATTCGGGTTGATTGTTCTAGTTTCTTCTCTTTGTTCTGTCAATTTCTTTACTGTATTGTGAGTGTCTAGAATTGTTGGACATTGGTTCTGTAGCTGAAATTTGGCTGCAGGTTGGTACAAGAACTCGAACTTGGTTCTTGGGTGGTGAGTGTCTGGAATTGTTGGACACTGGTTCTGTAGCTGGAATTTGGCTGCAGGTTGGTTCAAGAACTGAAATTTGGTTCTTGGTGAAAGTTTAGGTGCAAGATCTGGAATTTGGGTCTTGTGGTAGATTGGGTGTGTGATTGGAATCTATAATATGTAAAACATTCAATCTAGTGGAACTCAGTTGGAATTTGGCTGAGAACTGGACGTAGTCCTGCGATTGGGTGAACCAGTATAAATCTTGGTTGTATTTTTCTAAACCTTACTCTCTTTAATTCTGCTGTTGTCTTACTTTGAATAACTTGTTTTCCTTGGTTCAAGAATTGGTCAAAACTCTTAATCTTTGAAATAGATAATCGAAAAGTGCGAAAATCTTTTAAAGATCAATTCACCCCCCTCTTGATCTTAGCCTCTTTTTCTAACATGACCAAAATTTCGTCAATAAATTAGTCACTAAATCGGTCACTGACTCAGTAACTAAATCAATTACTATCGCACATCACACAATCCACTAAGAAACCCACTTAGTGATTCTTATCGCTTCTAGCCCAAACTAAGTTTTCAGAAGCCCCTTTTTCTTCCCTACAGAAAGTTCTCGCAGTCACAACTCTTAACTTTTGTATGAAAAAGATTTGTTCAATTTGCAGAGAGCCTTAGAGAACCTTAAGTAGAGAGAATAGGGTATGGGAAATCATGATTTTTGAAAACATAAGAATTGGGAATAGGGTTTTCGTAAATTGGTCCAGATTTGAATTTCAAAACTCATAACAGACGTAAATAATTGATTATCTTGAGTGATAATCGATTATTCCAAAGCCATTTTCGCAGAGGAGAAAAACAGGACCAGGATAATCGATTATCTGGGTGAATAATCGATCATTTGGCTGGGATAATCGATTATCCTGAGCGATAATCGATTATCAGAGAGAGCTTTTCAGAAAAATGATTTTCAGTGCAGGATAATCGATTATTCTAAGTGATAATCGATTATCACAGTGTCTTTTGAAAGTGATGAAGATCTTATTGAAATACTTTGGCAAAGATCTCATTGATTTGATGAAGTCAAAGATGAAGTCAAAAGCAACTTTGTAGTGGACAAAAGTTACTAAGATAAAAGAGTAGAAATATTAGTGTGTCCGCAGCTATGCTTAGGTATAATCATTTTATCTTTTCTGCTGCATGAGGTTTCTTCACTTAAAAGATTTTGCAAAATGCCTCTAAAATCGTTTTAAACAATTAAAAACAAAGTATTTTGACAAAAGCTTTCTTAAACATGTTTTTAACTGATACAGTTTTGAAATAACCGATTAAAATCACTTAGAATGTTCAAAGAAGTGTTTTTACAGTATTTTAATCGATACAACTTGATTTTAATCGATTAAATCCATTTAGAACTCATTATGATCGATCAGAATACAAATATGACCGATCATATTTGAATTATGAGCGATCAGAATTTTTTCAATCGATTAAAACACGTTTCAATCGATTAAAATCACTTAAAGGTTCAGGATGATCGATCAGAATGCAATTATGACCGATCAGAATCAGTTATGATCGATCAGAATTGAGTTATGACCGATCAGAACTGTTTCAATCGATTAAAACACGTTTCAACCGATTAAAACAACTTGGAAAAATTATGTACAGAGTTTTAATCGATTAAAACCTATTTTTATCAGTTAAAATAACTTGAAAAGTTTTACAAGAAAGTTTTTGCAGTATTTCAATCGATTGAATCGCGAAACAATCGATTAAATCAACTTAGAAGATTTTTTGTAAAGTGTTTTAATTGATATAAACGTTGTCGTATCAGTTAAAACAAATCTGTTAAAGAATCAAGAACGTATTAATGGATTAAAAGAAGTTTTAACGGATTAAAACTGCACTTTTAACAGATTAAAAGAATCTTTTAACAGATTAATTAATACAGCAGTTTTGAAAATCTTCTATAAAAACAGAGTTGCTTGAAACTTTTAATACATCAGTTTTTACACATCCTTGAGCAATCAATCAAGCAACTTTAGCACTCTTTTCAAGAAAGATTCGCGGCAGTTTTTGAGAAGTTCTTTAAAAATCTTTCTTGAGGCATATTGCTTTTCTTTAAAGAAGAAACTCACTACTGAATAACATAAACTGGTTTGAGCTTTCTAGTTTCTTCTTTTTCAA